TGTGCCGGCGAGTGCATTATTGATGAAGCCGGTCGCCCTGCTCCTCTCAATGCCGGGAGGAAAAAGATGTCATCTGCTCCTCATTAGAGGTCTTGCATCTTTGATGAGGTGTTCGGCAGCGCCATGTAATTGGAGACGGCCCTCTGAACCTGGCAGCTCCCGTCAATCTCGGGCAAGCTTTCCCTGGTGGCCTGGGGGACGGTTTCTGTCTGGCGTGCTGGACCCGCGCCCAGGACCCTGCTCCTCTCAATGCCGGGAGGAAAAAGATGTCATCTGCTCCTCATTAGAGGTCTTGCATCTTTGATGAGGTGTTCGGCAGCGCCATGTAATTGGAGACGGCCCTCTGAACCTGGCAGCTCCCGTCAATCTCGGGCAAGCTTTCCCTGGTGGCCTGGGGGACGGTTTCTGTCTGGCGTGCTGGACCCGCGCCCAGGACGGGCTTGGAGTTGTGCTGTGCTCCCCAGGGCACCATGGAGGAGAGTGTGGGAGCACCCGGCTCCCTCCTTCTGCTCCCCCTCCCCAGCCACCCTCTTCCAGCCGGGTCTGGAGGTGCTGCTGCTGCTGCAGGTGAAGGATGCCTCCAGTTGGAGGTGGAGCTCATGGCTCTCCTGGGCTCCTAGAGGTCCCAGTTATCACAGCAGGGCCATCACACAGCCTTGCACCCCCAAAATCCCCCACTAAAGCCTCTCCACCACCCCTCTCCAGCCAAGGATGAAGAGAGGCTGTGCAACAGCCACACGAGGTGCAGCAGGCTGGGACGGGGAAAGCACAGAGCCCAAAACCAGGTCATCCACAGTGAATTCAGCTGGAAAATACCCAAAGCCCACACTGCTCAGGGACCCTCCAGGTTAAGCCTGCATTAGTGGAAAGACCAGGGCTCTTCTGACCCCCAAGCCTCAGCCTGTGCAGCTCAGCTCTCCCACCCAGACTGGGTGGCATCCTCCATCCCTCCTTTTGGGAAGGGTCCCTGGGCAGTGCTAAGCTCTGCACCATGCCCAGGCCCTGTCCAGAGACGGGAAAAACCACATCAAGGTGGTATTACTTGCAGCAAGCCAGGCTGGGGCGATGGTGCTCAGACCCCCCTGAACCTGCCTGGGGTCCCCTCTCTGTGGGGCTTGGTGGTGGCAAAGGGGGATATAACTCCATCCCCTCTGCCAGGCTGTGCTTCTTCAAACTTGGCTGGACTTCATGAGGTCCCTGCCAGCCTGTCTCTCCAGCCTGTCCAGGTCACGCCAAGCAGCAGCCTTGTCTCCAGCACTTCAAACGTCGTCCACACTTCAGTGTTGCCTGTAGGCTTGCCCAATCCCACCACCCCAGTAACAGGGTGGGACCCAGCAACTGGCCACCATCTGGACCCTTGCACTACTGACCACCATGCCATTAGCCTGGTGGTGAGCTGGTTGTCCACCCACCTCCTCATCCACTTCTCCAGCCCAGATCTCACCAATCCGGCCATGAGGAGACTATGGGAAACCCTTACTAAAGTCAAGGTACACAGCTTTCACTGTTCTCCCCATACCCACACAACCAGTCCTCTCATTGCAGGAGGCAACCAGGACGGTCGAGCATGACTTGCCCTTGGTAGGTGCCTGCTGCTGTTCCTACTGCCTTTGTCCTTCAGATGTTCTCTATCACCTTCCCAGGGACGGAGGTGGAACAGCAGCCCTGGAGCATACTTCTTGCCCTTCTGGAAGATGGATGTGTCGTTTGCCTCTTCCCAGTTATCAGGGACATCCTGCAGTCACTGGGACTTTTCAAAGAGACACTGACCAGCCCTCTCAGCACCCCCAGGTGCATCCTGCTTGGTCCTGTGGACTCATGCATGCACAACTGCCTTAACTGCTCCCTGATCTTAGCCCAGAAGCTCTTCCCCGTCTCGCTGCCAAGGCAGTGGTGTATTGCAGCTACACCTCTGCAGAGGGTGCTGCTCCTCCTCCTCACCTTGGCCCTGAAGGGCCTCCATCCATGGCAGCATTGCAATCATTGTGTTCCCAGCTCCTCCTGGTGTCTCCTCAGCTGGACGCACGGTGTGCAGGCACCCGGGACGGACTGCTGGTTACTCTGTGTTCAGGGAAGCGATGCAAGAGCCTCCTCCAGTATACTGTACCCCAGGCACCTTCTCACCACCTCCCCACACCTGTCCTGCTCTTCAGGTCATAGTAACCCTTCCCTGACACTCCTAGTTGAAAGCCCTCCTTACCAGGTCGGACAGCCTGTTGGTAGGATGCTCTGGCTCTGCTTGCTTGGGTGGATCCCATCGCTGCCCAGCAGCCCTGATCCTTGGCGGCCAGAAAAGCCAAAGCCTTGCGTTGTCCCACAAGATGCTCCCATGCAGGGCTTACCCCATGATGGGGCTCCCATGCCCCTCACCCCCAGCACCCCATAACTGCTCTTGATGTACTCAGGGTCAACCTGGCAGTGCTATGCGGATGAGCAACAAGGTGTAACAGCCGGAGGGATGGCTGAGCCTCGCTAGTCCTTCTGCAGCATCCCAGATCTGGTCCCTGGCAAGCAACAAACCTCCTGAGACAGCACAGCGGGGCTCTTGAGCTCTCCAGGATGCTCATCCAGCTCTGGGTGAGAGGCACTGTGCCCCCGGATGGTGTGGCGGGGGGGCAAGGCCGTCTCCGTAACGTAATCCATCCCAGGGCCTTCCCGCCCGTGCCTGGATCAAGGGCAGCCGCAACGTGAGCCCACATGCGTGCGTGCAGGGCAGGACGCTGCAGCAGGCACCCCGGCAGGTCGAGAGGCTAAAGGCACGGGGCGGGCAGCGAGAGCCTGCAGAGCAGCTTGCCGGCTGGGGAATCCCCTCGGGGGGACTACCCCCGCCAGCCCCGGCAT